ATAACAACAAATATATACATACAAATAATATCCATAAAATATACATAATTATTATTAGTCTAAAAACATTTTAACATATATATATAAAACATGATATGTCTGCGTATCATAAACACGTATTATTATAAAACGTGTTTTATATTATATGCTAAATAAAAATAATAATTATTATTATATCATTATTTGAATATAAAAGCACCAATGCATCCATTAACAATATTTAATGTTGCGTGAAAAGAGAATAAAGCTGCAATGCAAATAAAGCTGCGAGAGGTCATTAAAATGACCAAAATTAGGAACAACTTAGTTTTCATGTGTGTGGCAGAGGCTTAATTCTCATGTGCGTGACAGAGCAACACGCAAAAACGAGTGAAAAGAAAATACGGGTTCAAGGACAAAGCTGTATTTACGACGCGCATAAACCCTTTCTCTATCTTTAAAGACCCAATTCTTCACCACGAAAAAACAACAGACCCTTCTTCATTCCCTTCATCAAGGGACAACACAGTTCAAGAATGGCTAAAGCCGAAAGAATCCAAACAAGGACGAGTCGCTGCAGAAATTGGTGAAGAAACACAAGCACAGAAAATAGTCGCTCATCTGTGGTTAATCCCAGGACGTTATGGGAAATCCTACAAACTCCGATGAACAATCAGATATCGCCGCAGGTCAAGCACCATATTGTCACGCCGGAAAAGACGACTCCAAGGCAAAGAAGAAAAAAAATATTTAAACGAAACAGTTCATCGTCAAACCGGAATCCTAATGACCATTTGGCTAATTTTATTCGCTTTTAAAAAATAAAAGCTCCCTTTACCATTACAAGAAAAATTATAATCAGGTTTAAGGTTAATTTGGGAAATATTATTTGGATCAAAAGAATCAAAATAATAAAACCCATAAATCTAAAATCCAAATCAACGAAAAACATGCAAGGCAGAGGAATAAACAACTCTGATACCAAATGATAAAATAGCAGAGTATGAAATTGACCTAAACATATTATATTAATAATGTGCGTACCTCCTGCCATTGCAATTTTGTAAATCTAAACACAAACAGTTTTGTTTTGTAAACCTTAACTCATTCAAACTCGATGGTGTGTTTTTCTGAATAGAGGAGTAGACTTAGTGATCAAAACTGAGAGTAACCCATTCCCTTATATAAAGTCTGGCCATCACAGGTTTCAAAATAAATGGTCTTTACGTTTAAAAATTAATAACTGCTCCATAGCAGTTAAAAGGATAAAAATAATGGCTTAATGGACCACTTTATGTTCCTTAAAAATAGGAACTTAAAATGCTATAATATTTATTTTATATTTAAAATAATGCTAACATTATAATATAATACTTTATCATAAATCTAAATTCATTATTAATTTTAATTATAATGCAATTTAGATATTTAAAAATATTTATGTACTATAAATTTTAGTTACATATAACATATATAACATGGAAAAGTCTAGAAATTCATGTTAGAACTTATAATATGTTTAGAATTATGAATCTCAATTATTTTAATAATAAAAATTTAAAGTATAAATAAAATTCTTATAAATGAGTTTCATTATTTTCTTAAGATTTTTTAACCATCTATTCGTTAGTTTGAATATTGGAAACCGCCAGAATAATCCTTGAGGCAAGATCTTCAATTTTGTTTGTTTAATTTTTGCAATAGAGTATGTTAGTTTCTATTCTTTTTCCTTAGTTTGTGTGTTTTCTATTCATGTATATTGTTCTAATTTGCATGTGGGTCTGAATCATCTTTAAGAGTATCTGCAAATTAGTGGTCTTAATGGTGTGTCGTGATCTTATTTTTGTTGTTCATAGGGACAGATAGAGCTTCTTGTGCATCTAAAGGTGTTTTAAGGATTCTGAAGCGGTTTGATCATCTATCAAGTAAAGGGAGCTAATTACATTGATTTTAACGGATGACAACTTATAATCGCTGATTGTAGGCTTGTATGATAGTTGGTTTATGAAACTGAGTTGCCTAATGAATTATAACATGTTCAGTTGAGTTAGGACTTTTGAATCGTCTTTAGTGATCGTATGTTGAAATGTTGATATGGTATATGGTTGAGATTGTATTTGAGGTGAATTGATGAGTCATTGAATTGTGTATAATTTGATGGTTTTTAATTTGACGTTTGAGGCTAGTGTTAGACCCAGGGCTAGAATGACATACATAAACTTCATAGTTATGCAAACTTGTTAGGTAAACATATACTCGCTAAACGAAGTCAAAGTTAGAAAGCTACTGACTTGGTAGTCGTTGGTGAGAAAAATATCGTTGGACGATACCAAAGTTAGAGAGTTCACTAACTTGACTGTTGCTAGGCAAAAATATACTCATTGGGCAACTTTTGGGAGAATTTAAATATGTAAGTTCTAATGGTATTCTTGTTAAACAAGCTATTTGGTCATTGGACGGGTGTGTTGTTAGACACTGAGCGAGCATATCTGGTGGCTGAATGAATGTACTGTCAAGCATCACCTAGTAAGTGAGTAGATCTGATGGCAGAGCGAGTGTGTTGTCTGACACTACTCGCTGAGCGAGAAGATCTTGTGGCTTAGTGAAAATATTTTAACTAAATTTGCATATATCTCTTATTATATGTTTAATGTGTGTGATTATGTGGATGTTAAAATAATGGTTGGTTTATAATGATATGTGAATGATTGGTACTAATCTAAAAGTAGTATGTGTGTTATATATAATTTTATATTGGGAGTTATTGTGACTCTCTAATAATCATCCAATCTCAAGTAGAGAATGGTAATATATATGTTGATAGGGACATGAAATCTTAGTGTATAAGTTTTATCTTAGTCAAAGGCTTTAACGATTTAATCTTGTATGTGGTAGGGTGAAACCCATTAACAATAACTCTACAAAACAGTAAGGTCCCTCAAATATAAAATTTTTATGTATTTAATTTTCATTTATTTAAAGTAAAACATTTAGTACTAACAATGTAAGTATTTAATTGTTCTTAATTTATCTTCTTTTATAATTTTCAAAATTTTCTTAGTTTATTTTTTCAAATTTAATTTTTGTGTATTGTAATTCCAAAACTTTAGACGGTTGAGTAATTGAAATTCAACGTAGTAGAACGTATTTAATTCATACAACAGTGTATATTTAGTCTGCACTATGCATAATGATGACATTGATATAAGTGTTCACACAAACACAGTCCTTAAGCATTATCGTTGGGCAAGCAAACAATGTTTTAGCAAAAATATTAAATTGTAAAATGATTTTTATTAAAAATAAGTAAAAAAAATTATTAAATAATTTTTTATTATAAATAACTTTTTGAATTTAAAAAATTAATTATTAAAAAGGAAAAATGGTAACATAATTATTTTGATTTATATAATAATTAAATTTAGATTGACGAATTTTTACATGATAAAAACAAAAACATAATTATTTTAGTTTAAAATAACGATTAATTAAAAAGTAAAATTAATAAGAAACTATGTACAGAAACAAAACGACTTATGTATAGATATAGATATTAAAATGATAATTTTTGTTATTATGACTCATGCTCCCTTCTTCTTTTTTTCTGTTATTGTGTTTTCCTAAATTATCCTTGGCCTAATGGTGCCAGCGTGCCTTTAAGAGGTTTTATATGTATTACAGTTTTATATAATAAATATATATATTTTTTATTTATGATTTTACTATCTATTATTCTTTCCATAATAAATATATCAATAAATACTTTTAATATTGCAATTAATATAAAAATTTAATTTTAATAAAATTTAATTAATACTTTAATAATAGGATGACAACTAAGAACAGATATAAATTTCATTATCTCATCTTTATATTTTAAGTAAAAGAGTATATTTATTCGTGTTTCCATATCCAATAATGAAACTTTTGTTTCATCTTTACATGGACTAACATTTCCAATTTTAAATCTTCTACTCTTTATATTTTTTTTATCATTTGACTTTTGTACTTTTAGATCATTTGCTTCTTACATTTTTTTCTATATCATCTAACAATATATTTATTTAATATCTAAAAAAAACATATAAACAAACATCACTCTTTTTTACTAATATATGAATACTAGCAACTCTTTTTTACTATTATACTACAAAATTAGTAAAAAGATTTATCTGAAAAACCCATTTTTCCTAAACTCAAATAACATGTTAGATTTTATACATTCGTGTAATTTTGGGTTTTGAGAATTTATAAATGGTATATTATTTTAAATTCTTAGCATTGTGTTCATTTGGGTAATATATTTTTATTAAAAATATTAGAATATTTATTAGCATATATTAATATTATGTTCATTTGTGTAATTATCAACATTTATCAACAAATTTTAATGTGAATAATATCAATTTTTCTTATAACAATCATCCTACAAATGTTTTATTTTAACTTCTTTTCTTTCTTTTACTTTTTTTTTTTAAACTATAGCAAAAACACACTGAGTATCTACCTTTATCTTAATAAAAAATATTTTTTTATCTACTATGGTAGTAACAATATTCAACGTTTACAACTTATTCAACATCTTCAGCAGAAGACCAACATGATTAGATTTTAAAAATAGAAAATGGATTACAAAATATAACTTCGGCTGCTTGATCCGGTCATTTCTGCAGACCTTACCTTTATGTTCAGATTGACTTTTTTCTACGAATAATTTTAAAACTTCTTATTTCAGTTTTCTTATTAATTTTTCAATTATTTTAAGGCAGGAATTCTAATATGTTTTATATTTCAAAGACAGAGTGCAGTAGGCCAAATAAACAAAGAAATAATTGGATGTATTTTTTTTAGGGGTGTGAGTTTTATTTTCCAAATAAAATGAATTGTTGAGGCTTGGTTTTGTTTGTTAATGCACTTAGCTCCCTATAAAGGGTAGTTCCAGAATTCAGTTTAAATGCAATACCAACGCGAAGGAAGCTTTGCTTCATAATTATCACCTCTTTCTCTATCTGCTCTCAGCAGCCATGGCCTTCTGTGGTGGTACCTTTGTTAAGCCAAACCATTCTTTCTCCCAAACCCACAAACCCAAAGCTCCAACTCCATACTATGATACCAGAAAAAAGGTTGGTGAATCAATCATACGTACAACTCTGCATCTCTCTAACAACACTTTCCAGTGCTCTTTCTGCTCTACCAATTTAACCACACTAAACACCATCTCTGTCAACATCATATAGTGCTTTTCTTTTTCCTTCATTTCGTGTTCGGGTTTTGATTCCTTAAGCAATCACTCTTCTTCCTTTTGTTAACAACAAATTCACCATTATTTTTTCACTGATGGTGCAAAGATGGATGATGTGTTATTTTGTTTGTCAGTTCTGCGTGAGAGTTTCAGCAAGTGACTCGGGTGAAGTCGAGAAGACTGTTATCAGGAAAGAGAAAGATGGGTGGAAGATCAATTACTCAGGAGAGAAACCTCAAACACCATTGTTGGACACAGTCAACCACCCAATTCATATGAAGAATCTGTCCACTCAGGTTTAAAATTAGGAATCATTTTAAGGTCTAAAGGACATGCCACAGCATATTTCTTGTCCGTGGCTGACACAAGAGTTTTTGTTTTCCGTGAGTTTTGTTGGTTTGTTTGTGAAAAGTGTTGAATGTATTTGTCAGGATCTAGAGCAACTTGCAGCAGAGCTGAGGGCAGATATTGTGCACAGTGTGTCAAACACTGGTGGGCATCTTAGTTCAAGCTTGGGAGTGGTGGAGTTAGCAGTGGCTTTGCATCATGTTTTCGACACCCCTGAAGACAAAATTATATGGGATGTTGGTCATCAGGTAATCTTTCGTCTTATTCATTTCTTCTTCTTTTCTAACACAAGTTAAATAGCAACAAAAGAAATATAGTTTTCATTTAGAGAAAATTCATTGCTCGTGACAAAATTAGAGTTCTATATTTTTTTTATTCTCTTCTGTACAATACAATTTTCCATCATTATACCATGTTTGGTGCGTGTGCTATGTGAGATTCTAAAAGGTAATCAAATTGCAGGCATACCCACATAAGATTCTTACAGGTAGAAGGTCCAGGATGCACACCATTAGGAAGACTTCGGGGCTAGCAGGTTTTCCTAAAAGGGATGAGAGTACTCATGATGCTTTTGGGGTAGGACACAGTTCTACAAGCATATCTGCTGGTCTTGGTGAGATTCTTATATTTTAAGATCAATACATATTCATATGTGCAGAAGCACTTATTTCACCGATTGAGCAACAATTCTGAATATTTATTAGGCATGGCTGTTGCACGTGATCTACTGGGGAAGAAGAACAGCATCATATCAGTGATAGGGGATGGGGCATTGACAGCAGGCCAAGCTTACGAGGCCCTGAACAATGCTGGGTTCCTTGATTCTAACATGATAGTAGTACTTAATGACAACAAGCAAGTCTCTTTACCAACGGCCACACTTGATGGCCCCGCAAGTCCTGTCGGTGCCCTCAGCAGTGCTTTGAGCAAAATTCAAGCGAGTACAGAATTCCGCAAACTCAGAGAAGCTGCAAAAGTAAGCCTCTTAAACTTATCATATTCGCAGTCAACGTCATGATCTCAGTGATCATGACAAATTGTGGCGTTTATTTGACTCCAATTTTTTTCCTGAAGAGCATCACCAAACAAATTGGAGGACAAACACACCAGGTTGCAGCCAAAGTGGATGAGTATGCAAGAGGCATGATCAGCGGTTCTGGATCTACATTATTTGAAGAACTTGGCTTATACTACATAGGTCCTGTGGATGGTCATAACATTGAAGATCTGGTCACCATCTTTGAAAAGGTCAAATCAATGCCTGCTCCAGGTCCAGTTTTGATTCATATTGTGACAGAAAAAGGGAAGGGATACCCCCCAGCAGAAAAAGCAGCTGATAGAATGCACGGTGAGAAAGGGATATTTCTTAATAAAGCAATGTGAGAAACTTGAAATTGTGAAATCAATTCTTAGACCTAATGCAAAAGTTACCCACTGTTAATATAACTCAATCAATTTTGAACTTACAATTAATCTCTCAACTTGAAACCAAGTGAAGTGAGTAATTATTTACTAAGGTAGCTAATAATTTGCGTGATTTAAAACTAATACTGGAATCGAAACACACACTTATCCTTTCTCATATTTTCAGGGGTTGTAAAGTTTGATCCAAAAACAGGGAAGCAGTTTAAGGCAAAATCCTCAACACTTTCATACACACAGTACTTTGCTGAGTCTTTGATACAGGAGGCTGAAATAGACGACAAGGTAGTGGCCATTCACGCAGCAATGGGTGGTGGTACAGGCCTAAATTATTTCCACAAAAGGTTTCCCGACCGCTGTTTCGATGTGGGGATAGCTGAACAACATGCTGTTACATTTGCTGCTGGGTTAGCTGCTGAAGGCCTCAAGCCCTTTTGTGCCATTTATTCGTCATTCCTGCAACGTGGATATGATCAGGTAAGCCAATATGGTCACTGATTCCTTATCTATCTAATTTATTTGAGTTATTAACTGCGATAAGAAAACATCATCACTGTGATTTATTACGTCTATCTAGGTAGTCCATGATGTTGATCTTCAAAAGCTACCTGTTCGATTTGCCATGGATAGAGCTGGTTTGGTTGGAGCAGATGGACCAACGCATTGTGGAGCTTTTGATATCGCCTACATGGCTTGCCTGCCCAACATGGTGGTCATGGCTCCTTCTGATGAAGCTGAACTGATGCACATGGTTGCAACAGCAGCAACTATAGATGACAGACCAAGCTGCTTCAGATTTCCAAGGGGAAATGGAATTGGAGCCACTTTGCCAATTAACAACAAAGGAACCCCACTTGAGGTGAGGGTCAGAGACTGATATATATGTATATCCTAAACAGAATGGTAACTCAATAGTCTGGCCACTGAACTGAAATTGTTTTGTTCATGTAGATAGGAAAAGGCAGAATTCTGATGGAAGGCAGCAGAGTTGCTATCTTGGGATATGGTTCAGTAGTCCAACAATGCAGGCATGCCTCGGAATTGCTTAAAGAAGTAGGCGTTAATGTGACAATCGCTGATGCTAGGTTTTGCAAACCTTTGGATACCGATCTCATCAGGCTACTGGCTAAAGAGCATGAAATACTGATCACGGTGGAAGAGGGTTCTATCGGTGGTTTTGGATCACATGTTTCTCAATTCTTGAGCTTATCTGGTATTCTCGATGGACCTGTAAAGGTAAACCTTCCTCCATGGAGAAGTCGCTCTCTATATGATTTTCATTTTCAGATACGTCCCTATTTTGTGCATTTCTAACAACAATCCAATTTGGTTTTACCTGCAGTGGAGAGCAATGATGCTTCCTGACAGGTACATTGATCATGGGTCACCCCAGGATCAGGTTGAAGAAGCAGGGCTTTCATCAAAGCATATTGCGGCCACAGTCCTGTCTCTTCTTCAAAGGCCAAAAGAAGTTCTTCTGTTCAAATAGAAACGCGAAATGGAATGAGGATCTCAACCTGGAACCTGAAAGATGCATTCAGTTCCGTCGGCAGTGCGGTTTACAGGAAGCTGTAAATAGTTACTCTAGAATTGTCGTTTAGGATTCTCAGGTCGGGCCGAAGAAATAGTATGAGAAATAATGAGTTTAATTTATTCTTGCAGCTCGAGAATCAATCAAGGCATAGTAATGTATCAATCTTAATTAATTAGTTATGTTAATATATATAAAATCCAACCTCAAAGTTTACAGACACACGCATGCTATGTGTATAGAATACAATACGTTAATACATTTGTTTTGAAAATAATAGATATGATATATATGTATTTTGAAAATAATAGATATGATATAACATTTATATGTATATTGAAAGGTGTATAATAACTTTTAAAAACATGATACATATGAGAATGGAGTATTGTATGAATCCAAAGTAAAATAATATGTATTAAGGTTGTCAATCTAATAAATTATTGTTATCATAAGAGTATCATTGTTTTATAGATTAAATATTTCACTGATAAAAATTAACATAATATTCAAAAGTATCTAAATATATATGTGACCAAAATTAAAGTATTAGTACATAATATATTATAAACAGTTGCATATTAGTCATTTTTTGTTTATTATAGTAAAATTTTATTAAATTATAAAATAAATTTTAACTATTATAATCAAATATTTGAATTACAAAAAGTAATTACTAAAAATAAAAATTGAAAAAATATTATTCAAATTTAAAAAAGTAGTTAGTAAAACTATAAAGTAGAAAAAAAAATTGTACAAGACAAATATTTTTTATTATGTTGATTGTTCTGAGAATTTCTATAAACGGGAGTTAAGTGGTTTTGTCATTTTCACAATTTTACTCATCTTTGCATTGTTCAACAATTAATTCTTTTTTTCAAGGTAATAAAATATTTACCATCAACATTTCTTCAGGAGACTCCTCTGGTTGGGAGGACAAAAGGTATACAAATGACGTATTCATCATCACTCGGGTTGTCGTTAAGTGATCGAGGGTCATCCGAGAGGGGTTCAACATTTTGTAAATAGTGTTGCAACACTAATTTAACCTGTTAATAAAGCTTCAACTGAAAAAGAAGGACCGGTCATGAAACAAGGTTCGCAAGGAGAGGTTGCATAGGGGGTGAACACCGACACTGGTAGAGAAATCCAAGTGGACAATTCATTAGAAGGGGAGATCAAAACCTGCCTGAAGTCCTCATGTATGCGTGGCCGGCACATAAAGTGCGTGAATATGCCACCCACTTTAGGTGGGGCAATAATCTAGTTGAGCTTGCCTATTAGTCCTACATTTAGAAGGACAATGTGGTGGATGACTATGTGTGGCTTTCCATCTACCGAGGGAATGATCGGGTGTGCCACGATAAAGGTACTTCATAGTTGGACTTCTCATTTATCTACTTGTTCCTTCACTAGGTTGTGCATTCACATTTCGTTTAATGATTTTCAAGATGGAGTCTTATAGGAGTTGAACATTGCTCACACTCATCTCCACTCGAATGCCTATGTTACTATGCAAGCATTTCGCATCTTATGAAAGGCATTAGGTATCAACCTAACTCCCGCTTTGTTCCTCCACCAGTACCGTACCCATCTAAACGCTTGCAAAGGATTGGTTTCGTTAATAAGAGAGAATGATCGAAAGCTTTTTCAGCTGTATGCAACCTCCTACAAAGGCTTCAAGGATGGATTTTTCAAGATCGCAATTACCAATAAGGGTCCAACTTATTCTTTGATGGGGATGATTGATGAATGCATATTTATGTCCTCATTTAGCCTTTAATATTGGATTCTTAATTGGTTTTTGTACTTTAATAGAATATTTTAATTAGGATTTTTCATAATTGGGATACAAAAACATGTTAAACATATTTAGTATGAGATACAAAAACATGTTAAAAATAGTTTTTTAGTTACGTAAATGTTCTTTGGATATTTTGAAGTCTGTTAGTGCAACTGCAGCTAAGTTGAGCTTATTGAGATATGTAAATAAATTGGTTATAGTTTAATGACACCTTAAAGATAAATTCAAGAATAACAAATAATCAAGACCATAAGAAGTCAATCCAAGCATGGCATGAAAAAGTGAAGAAATTTGGCTAAGCTAAGAAGATGGAACAAGTAACAAAAATTGGATCTTGCGGTTTTCTTTATTTTTCTTTAAAAAGGACTTTGATAAATGTTTATGATAAAAGATAATTTGAGGAAAATATTTATTAAGATATTTTATTTGATATTGTTAAATAATTACCTTATTTAACTTATTAGTAAATATCAAAAGATAATATTTGTAAAAAAAAAAATTAATCTAGAAAAGATATTCTCAAATATTTTTATATCTCCAAACAATAAAATATATCTTGAAGATATTGGATTATTTAAAAGATAATTAGAGCAGATTAAATTATCATAAAGGAGATTATGATAACAGAAAAACTCAAAACAAAGCCTAATCTAATTCCTATATAAAGAGACTAAGGGAAACACATTAGTGAAGTTGAGGAACGCGGTGTACTTAACTGAATTTTCTTCTATGCCCCAAGCGGTGAGCATGAAGCCTAAGAACTTCCCCGCTTCTTCACCTTGGCCTTTGTCGCCTTTCGCCTTTCTTCCCCAAGCATACACTTCTTCTAGGTGATTGACCTTGCCTCCTTGAAGATAGTCAGCTTGTGCGACATTATTGTTGAGTGTATGCCTACGAATAGGTCTTTATTCTTAAGGAGCACCTTCACCAACTTCTGCTCCTACTCACGGCTCAAGTCGCTACCGAACTTGGTAACTTGGTTGTCCTATTGACCTATCTTGAGAATCGTTATTTCCCTTTGAGGCTCTATCTGACCATCTGTGTTGGTCGAGGGATCTAGGTTGGCCATTCCACCTCTGATCTTCTGGCCTTCAACGTAGCATTCTCGGGTGATCAATTGGTTAGCTTGTCCGATGCAAATTCCTCCCTTATATGAATGGAACTTCATGGCCAAGTGTGGGTGGATAAGATTGTGTCGAATGCATTCAAGCACGATCGACCCATTAGTATGTTGTAAGACATGTTACTAGGAATGACAATGGGTCGGGTTGGGCATGGATAGTGCCTACCCATAATCCGACCCATTAGATAAAACTGTACCTGTTATCTGACCCGCTACCCGCTAGATATCTGTATAAAAAAATTCGCCAATTTTTTTCAACCCGCAGATACCCGTTGGATACCCGTTTTCAACCCTTGAATATTTTTAAAAAATTATTTTATAAGTTTTTAAATGAAATCCAAATTAAATTGCAAAAAAAATACATATAATATTTAAAACAAATATCCAAATAAAGTCAATGGATAAGTAAAGAGGTTGTTGCACAGATGCAAGAAAAGGCAAAGAGGCAAAAGAATAAAACCTAATTTAAACCCAAGGATAAAAACATAATTTCAATTATTTAGCGGGTAACAAGTATTTGCATGTCAAATAGTGTAATATCCGTACCCGATCAGTTTAGAAGCGGGTATTAAAATAACTGTTATTCTCAATCCGCAAATAATATATTCGTGGATACCAACTATCCGTCGCGGATTTTTTCCGTGGATATTCGCGGGCGCGAATTATTTTGGCATCCCTACATGTTACCTTTAACCAACAAGCAGTGTACTTTGACCTCTTGGTCATCCTTCCTTGATTCAATCCTGGTCTGTAAGTCTAGGTACTCATGCATGTCCACTCGTTTGTCAAAGAAACCGAAAATTTTCTCGTTAAAAAAATACAATTAAGTCTTCAGAAATATTCATCTTTATGAATATTTTCCAATAAAAAATATTAACTAAGGTTCCTTGATGAATTAGGACCTTCCCAGTCCCATAGTCAGCCAACTCGATAGAGATAACCATCACATCATCTTGATCAGGGTCTAGCGCCTTGAAGTCCTCATTGAGCTCCACTGAATGCATCAACTTGAGAGCTCTAATGTGCCTATTACATGTCAATGTTATCCTCCTCCTATGAATCCTCCTGAGATCGTGTTGATATAACCTCTCAATGGACAGTCCCTGTTGCAGCTTCTACTCCTACTCTTACGTTAGGAAGATTCTCTCCTCCACTAGTTTTATGCTCTTGGCTAGGCGGGCTCCTTTGCACTTGGTCCTTCTTGACAAACTATTTTAGGTGGTTGACCCTTACCAGCTCCTTGATTTTGTCCCTTAACATTAAGCTTTCCTTGGTAGTGAGGCCGAGGTTTCAATGGTATAGGCAATGCGTATTACCATCGGTGTTAGGGGGTCAATTTCTTCCTTGAGCCCAACAACAAATCAGCGTTGAGGGTCTCTTCCAATATCTTGGTCCATGGAACGTTGAGAGGGTTGTAGTTACTGAAGCAGGGGCCTTTTGGTCTCTCCTTCCCCTTGGATGGTTTCTTATGCACCATTTTCTTATGATCCTTTCTATGAAAGCCCAAAGAGATTCGTCCTTGTCTTGCCTGATGTTGACGAGAACAATAAACGTTAGTTAAGGCGATTGGCTCATTGCAAACTAGGCCCCAAACTTTGCTTAAATGGTTACAAAGTAGTCAATAAAATTGGCCGACAATGTAGAAAATTAGGCTAGGGCTTCTCTCTTCAACGAGGTAGAGAAAACCAGATACCATATGGAGTTACTCGTGGTGTACAACGCCATCTAATTCATAAAGATTTGGATATGCTCGTGGGGTCCGTAGACCAATCGTACTTGTCAAATATTTGCACCATCTAGTTACTAGGAAGAGGGGCTTCTCTGATTCCTAGGACGAATGACAATAGATTGGTCGTCTTAATGGTTGTGATGGAATCTCGAAGATCCTTCCTTGCAACAAAGATACTAGCTTGGATTGTTCATTCTAACTCATCTCGATGTTGCTTAACTAGACCTGAAGGGTTGGGGTGGACAACATATGACCTTTGTTCCTTCTTTTGCTGAATAATCTCACTCTCGGCTCTTAGCATCCTTATTTCCTCCTCGTACTTCCTCTACATATTGCCCATCTACCGTTGCATTCATCTCATAATCTCCACGAGTCTATTTGATTGTTGACGGTCCCCTTTTGTCCTTGGTTGCTCATCATATTCCTTATGGTCAACATGTAGGTTTAAAGATTCCGCTCGGTCCCATGGTGGACATCAAAATGTTTC